CGTGCGCGAGTCTGACTCACACTTGGCCAGTTTTTAATATTGTGCTGCCTCCGTGGCTCCTTCAATGTAAATTAGCTGGTTGAAGTAGTTTCTTTTCTATACTAATATTATAGAGAGGTGAACTTTCCAACTATGGGTAATTATACCTCCGAGGATAATTTTCGCCATGATCCGGTCATGAAAATTTTTTCACCTACGGGAAGCTACATCGTACGCAGAAGACCAGTTGACAACTTTTATTTTATTGTATAAAATAACTAGTGTCCGTCAGCGACTTCGTCCGCATTTTCCATTATTCCTTCGCTCCTAATAGTTGCAGCGTGATGTTATATAGCCTAAATCCTTCCTCGATAAATGGTCTATTCAATACAAAAAGAATTTTTCAATTCGAACCAGTAGTTCCTGAGATTAGCGCATTCAAACAAACAAACAAACTCTTCAGTTTTATAATATTAGTATAGAAAAATAAATCTTAAACAACATCACATCCATTTTGCTCAGATTCCAAGGTGAGTAGCCAAAGCCACCGTATTATGGAGTATCTGAGGCAACACCCAGAACCGGGACAATATAGATAAGTTCATTTTCTACATCACCGGACCGGAAATCGAACCTGGGACCTCAGAGATGGCGACACCTTAAAACACCACTCGGCTACGGAGGTCGATAAGTTAATATCTGAGAAATAATGTAGAAGTAACATAACAGCAGATCTACGATTAATAGTACGGATTAATAGATACGGTGCTGTGTTTGTGGAACTGCTGCTGGTTGGCCGAAAACGTTCCCTACAAATTCAAGGCACTAAGTGACGTCACACAGTAGTGCTACAGTAGTGAAAAACGTATGGGCGTCTGGGCAATATTTGTAATATACATATTTGTTATTTGTGCATTTATGTTTATAGCTGTTATAATAAAAACTGTTACATTTTATGCATCAAATTTAATGCTATATGTATTTTAGCAAATTTTGGTGATATATTTTCCCTACTTTTTTCAAGTACAAAGTTACAAAGGTTCATATTTTCGGATGTATGTTCCGAAAATATGAACCTTTGTAACTTTGTTTCTATTCTCACTTGTAGGAACAGCTAGTGAATGTATAAAGTAATCGATCAGTTATGATTCTAAATACTTGGGGTTTCGATATTAGCATATAGGTATATGAATAAAAGTCGTTCAAAAAAGGCAAATTTAAGAATAGCGCGCTTTGACAGAACGCAGAACAGAATATTTTCCTTAATTGATTAATGAGATAAGAGTTGTTTTCTTGATATTTGTATAATTATTTTGAATCACTTGTGAATGACGCATCGAATAATAATAATAAAGAATTAGTCATGTTTAAAAGTTTTGAATATTAGTATACAAAGAAATATTACATTTCATCATCATCATCATCATCATCAGCCGGAAGACGACCACTGCTGAACATAGGCCTCCCCCTTTGAACACCACGACGGACGACATTGCGCCAGCTGCATCCAGCGGCCGCCCGCAACTCGGACGATACATATTACATTTAAATTGAATAAAATACAAATTCTAGATATTTTCAAGGTATTAGGTATAATAACAATCACGAAAAAGTTGATTGAAAAATATGATTATAAAGCTTAATTTATTGTCAGTATTTTGATCGTCATAGTAATAATATAGTCTTGCTCGGAGCCTTAATAATAGGTTTTGATAATTATCAATCAATTGATTAAAAGTATACGAATTTGCCTTTTTTATAGGATCCAAGAAGAAGCGAATATTACTGGAAACTAAAAGAGAACTTAGAACAAGTATATCGTTATAAAGAATTAAGAAAAAATAAGAAAAAACTGCTTAACGATACATATAAACATCACATGCATCAAGAAAGCCTGGTAAGTATCTTTGTATAGAAGACACTAATCTTAGATTCGGAAAGGAAAGAAAGAGCTCCGTAGACCTAAACCATCTTATTATAAAACGAGGACTAAAGGTAATAATACTTGTTTTAAAACAGTGGCCGCCTGAAGCAAATTGACAAGGATATAAGAGAAAACATAAAATTGAGATTTCTTGACTTTACTTTGGTCGGATAATGGTATATACCTTCTTAATACTACGAGTAATTACCGTCTATATAAATCTCTATATGTATATAATTCTCGTGTCACAATTTTCATTCCCGTACTCCTCCGAAACGGCTTGACCTATTCTCATGAAATTTCGTAAGCATATTGAGTAGGTCTGAGAATCGGCCAACATCTAGTTTTCATACCCCTTAGTGCTAAGGGTTGCGGGAAACCTACTTCCACGCGGACGAAGTCGCGGGCGGCCAAAAGTATAGGTACGAGTATATAATTATAAACTTTGATCTAATAATAATGCAGGATAAACAAGGGTGGTATTACGAAGGTCAAGATCGCAACTATCGACTTCAGATAAGCGTTTCGGTACCAGTGTTCGAGAATACAACTCTTGAAGTAAGCTAATTTATTTATTACTTTATTATAATATTTCAATTAACACAAAAAAGATTTCATTTCTTTGCTTTATTCAAATCATGATGACAGTACGATATGCTTAAGGCGCGGCTTTAACCGATTTATTTTCATTTTGTTTGCCCACTACAAATTTCCATTACCATAAGCTTTTTTAAAAAGAAATAATAAGACACGCAAAATAAGCTTGCTCGTATTCGAGTACTTACTTATTTGAGTACCGAGTTCTGTAACTACGCTACTTCAACTATTTGAGATATGTAATGCTATTGCGCACCTAATCTTTTTGCATCAGCAGTACTGGGGGCCAATTCTACTAAATAAATTTTGTTTAAATCGAATCGAACACGGATCGAAAACGGATCGAAACCGAACGAAACTACAGTTTTTGATGGTTTTTCTATTCTTCAAAGTGACATACGATAGAATTCCAGCTAAAATAGAACTAGAATTGTATCGTACTTATGTCACTTTAGTCCAGCTAAAATAGAACTAGAATTGTATCGTATGTCACTTTCATAGAATAGGAAAACCATTAAAAACTGTAGTTTCGTTCGGTTTTGATCCGTTTTCGATTCTATTTAAACAAAATTTATTTAGTATAATTGGCCCCCTGTTCTGTTAGACAACGTCTAATGCAGCGTCACAGCAATAGGGAATCAATGAAAAAGTAAAAACGTTTGATTTTATTGAACCTTTAATGCAACAGCTCTAATTTCAAAGTCAAAGCAGTCATTTCATTTTATAACTATGTATTTTTTTTACAATATATAAGTACTTACATCAATTTATTTATAAGATATTAAGAACTTTCTCTTATCTTTATAATGCAAGTTTTATTTAATTTTTGCAACCACATATATAATAAGTTCACATTCTAGATTTTTTTTGTGGATTGTAATTGACCTAGATGTAGCAATTTTAAATATTATTCACATTTATTATAAGAGGTCGTTATTATCCCAAATATAAATAAATAAATTAAATAAAAAGTGTAATTCCGTATCTTTACTATTAAAATCACCTCCGTAGCCGAGTTTCAAGATGTCTCCATCTCAGAAATCCCGGGTTCGATTCACGGTCTAGTCAATGTAAAAAACGAATTTGCTTATATTGTTTGGGGCACAGAACACAGAAAGAGTCTGTGTGTTGTATGCTTTCGTTGTTTCAGATACTCTATAATATGGGGGCTTTAGCTACTCATCTGAAAATCTGAGCAGTGTATGTGATGTTGTTGTCTCATATTACTGGCAAAATAACATGTATTACCTCAACGCGACAGAGATTGAAAACTTGGCAATAAATTAATTATAGTAGGAGCACAAATACGTGCTCCTACTTACTTTCTAATAAAAATAAGTATAAAACTACACTGATATACTACATACTTCGGTTATTTAAAAAAAATTATAAATTGTTATAATTTTATAAATTGTTAAAAGGTTTATAAATTATTATAATAAAAAGATTACCCTAGTTTAGATACGAGGAGTATAAATAAATAATAGATATTATTATTGTATTGTTACTTTTTTTACAGAACATCACTATACAATTGGCTGAGGTAAGTTAAAAATGTGAAAGAGTAAATGTTCAATCTATCTTGTTTATGTCAGCAGTATGTTCTAATTTCTGAATATTACAATATTTCATTATTAAGCTGATATAATAATAATTTTACTCATAAATAATTGTATTATTTTTATATAATACTTTACGTGATAATATTGAATAAGCTGAGAAACAGACATTCTGTTTCCGAACGCCGAGGAGTAAAGACATCCGACGACATCACGCTCATCTCGTTATATTTTCGTATGAAAAGTGATAAAATGAAACAAATCCACGTTGTTATACACGCCTGCAGTGTTAAATTTAAAGATAGTCCTCCGATATGGACGATCTATTTGGGCTTCGTAAAAGCCCCTTCTGACTACCCGTCGACATATACATAATTTTTTAATTCAATACAAACAAAGAATGACGGACGTCTATAACGAAGTTAGCCTTTTTAATAGACCGGGTTTTCCAAAAGTCACACTCTCTTACTAATCGCAATATTTATCTAATTTTAATAGATATTTAAATATACTAATCATTAATCTATCTCATGACTTACAATGACCTTTATAATCGTAAAAGTAACTACACTTATCACTATGTCGTCATAACATGGATAAGACGCAATAAAATAATATTTACATAAACAACCTTAACAAATAACGAGTATATATCCAGTAAACAATTCAAATGGAAAATTTGCGTCTTATCATGACGAGTTCATTGATTTTTTTTTATATATAAACTATCGCATATTATAAGTCGTTTACACAAATCCGATTACACCAATCTCGGCGTTTACAATAATCCTCTTTTTATCTTATCGCTGGCTATACGTACAGGAAGATCAAAGGAACGCAACTCGTACGGTAATTATTACTATTTTTAATCGTTATTATTTTTTGACTAAATTGTGTCACTCTTATTTGAATTTGGGTTATTATTATAGCTATGTACATATACTCCTATTTACATAGATTCAATTTACGGAATTTCACATTAACATATACCGTGAAAGCCGGTATGTTGAAAAATATTAGTAACTCTTGGGATTTACCAAAATGAGTTGGTAAGTGTAACAATTTTGTAGAAAGACCCTGTTTTTAGGCGATTAATATTAAAGTTTGGAACACGCTAAGTTCAATTAATGACGCTTGGTAAATGAGTATAACATTTAGAAAATAAAACAACGAGTATTTCTTAATCTTAACTTTCAATTGCCTGTTATCAAAAACATTACTGAATGTTAAATATTATTATAATGATATTTTTTACTTGTTATTATTGTTAATGATAAGCATTACAATATATCTTCATAATTAATGAAATAATTTACTTATTTATATACGAATACCAAGTCCAAGCATAGAACACGGAGAACCATTGTGAAATTTGTACCACTATATAGTCAATTAATAAATTACTTAATATTTATAGATATCTAGTGTTACATCGCATTATATTTATGAAAAGCGTTAGACCAATATATATAATGTTCCCGCAGTATCCTGTAAATCGGCTACTGGGTGTTGCCGGAGTCGATATTCCGATCGACCATTTGAAGCTAATTCTGCCTTACTATCAGGTAATAGATACTAGAATATATTAGATATTGCTAATTATCATTAAGTTTTAAATTAAATTAAATCTAATCAATACATCATAATACAATTAAGGAGTTAAGATATGGGAAATTAATTTCTAGTAGCTTAACTGCAACTTAACGTTAGTTAGTTCTTAGTAAACGCTACGTAAAGACTACGAGAAATGCTACGACATGCCGTAGCATGATTTCACATTTGCATTTTTGACGAGAAAACTTTTCTTATTTTACTGTTTGTAAAAAAAACTGTATATTATAATATTTAATCACTACTAGTGCTATTAATAAAAAAAGTTTAGCGTTTAGAGTAAATTTACCCTAAAATTTCAATTTTAGTATCAGTCCAAATTCATATTACCTATATAAAGAATAAGCAAAGCTACTACCTGCTAGGAGCAAATATTACTCCCGTAAAACCTCGTACTAGGTTAACGTAAGACTTAACCACAACCAGGTTAAGTCTCTGTTTAATAATGAGAATTTTGACTAAGACTAAGTGCAGTTTCAGCTTTATTTACTACAACGTGTACCTTGTTTATTAATAATACTTTAACTGTTTTAAAATAAAAAATATATTTAGATGCAGTAAAATCTAAATTATAGTTATAATCATGTGCAGTTGGGTGCCGGAGGATCATTGTTTTTAATCGATCATCGCGGAAATATAGTCCTACACGATAACCTCAAACCAGTGGTGAGTACCATTATTAAAATATTTTCCAAGCCAAGCAAATAATTTCCACCCGTGTTATACTTTACCGACGATTTTTTACTGTTTTAATGACATCAAAAACAATAAATACATAAATTAACAAAAAAATAGAGAGTTTTAACTACCAATAAAACTTACCTATTATTTTTCCTAAAGATATCCGGAATCCATCTTGAGTCAAGCATCATCCTTTTTGTGACGTTTCCGGTCAAAACACTACCTCCCCTCTTACTTCCGGCGCCTGTGCTGCCATCTAGTTTGCGGGTAGCGAACCAATGACTTTTAGGCACGAACGCTTACCGTCATTATACCTACTCTAGATGCACCAGGTAGAACTTACCTGGATTCCGGATATCTTTAGGAAAAATAATAGGTAAGTTTTATTGGTAGTTAAAACTCTCTATTATTTGTTCCGTTCGATATCCGGAATCCATCTTGAGTGATGTGTTTGTTATCTCCTGGTGAGTGCCATTGGTGACGCTATAATGTGTTGCAGGTATAAAAAGTCAAATGTAGTCTGATGAGAAAAAATAATGCATATTATAAGTATATTATGCTATTACCTACATAGTACATATATTATGCTGTTACATAACAATGCAATTATAATAATTATTCAAGTATTTCGGTAATCTAAGCTAAATAAATATTGGCTTATCTGTTATCGGTCAATATCATTAATGAATTGAATGGAATAATAAAAATGTAAATACATAGATATCGGAATTTTCTTGATTGTCCGATTTATCAGTTTTCGATAGGACTTCCTAAAAGTATGTTCTTGGCGCCAGTTTACAGTTTCAGTAATTTATCCATCGGAAACAGTTCCAGTCAATTTAGAGATGGAACTGCAGATGTAATAGACCCTGAAGAATCTTCTACATTATGTGCTTCTATTTAGCATTTTTGAGAACAGAGTAGTTAACTCGTGAAAATTACTTCTTTTTGGGGCTCTTTCAATACAAAAATTGATCGCGTGTCCAATACATGCAATCGAATGATTTGTGTCAGTTTATCATTTCTGTCCTGGCTGTCATAATTACTATTATCTGTTTTTAATACAAAATGGGGCCATAAGACAAAAAATCATTTTCGTCTCTATACTTCAAAGGTTAAAAGGGTTAAATAATGGATTCTGCGACCTTGAAGATTGTGAAATTATGCTAAATTTCCAGCAACTTAAATAGAGTCAATTCTGCCAATTTCTACGTAAAATTTCCAATGTACTATATACCTGAAGTCTAATATTATTTGTGCAATGTCTTCCTAACAATTCAATATTGACAGATATATTTATTATTTTATGATCTAGTAACAAGAATGTGTCATAAAGGGTTGTAGTCGAAGCGCTATTGACCCTCCACCATTACGCCGACATTAGCAGAATTTCCCTACCGGGCACTTGTTATTTGCAGAATTAATACTAGTAGATATTTATAGTCGCTTTACATTAACTCGATAGTTTCAAGATTTTCTTTATTTCATTTTATTCTGCCCGACTTTTAAATAAATTTTCTGAATTTCGGGGGATGAACACCTGTTGCCATACCTATTGCAGTATTTGCGGAAACAAATCGTCAGCCAAGACACTTTGTCCCATTTTGGAACAATCATAATGTACTTACTTGCCTTGACACTTACTGGAGTCGAGAAAGTATTTGCGGAATCATGTTTGAATAAGGCCAGCTTGCATTTGCACTGATGACGTCATGCGTTATGACCTATTAGCTTGCTCGTCCGTCACATCCATTGTCATGAACCTGGGAATGACGTGTGCTTTTGTCGATGGAATAAGTTCACATCTGGTGTACATTGGGCTGCTAGATTTAGTATTCAGGCTATGCATAATTTCTGAATCTGCCTTGTTCGTGTCATAATTACAATAATTTCCTAGATTTGGTCCCCCATCTTTGTTTATGTACGGGAATCAGTACAGTTCTCTTAGCATTTACATCTAGGCATTCCGCGAAATGAAGACTCGCGTGAGTAATTGCCTCGAGTTGAGCACTCGAACAGATTTCCTATGCACCTGTCCTCGGATGTTGAGCGATTTGCGTTGCATTTATTGGAAGGTACAACAGATACTTACCATTTTAAGTCATTCAGTACTGGGTCTGGTAATCCGAATAGGTAGTAATAATAGGTAGTAATTTAAGCTGTGTTAGTATTGCAGTGTGCGACAGTGTTATCACCCTGTTCGAATCACAAACAAGGCAAAGTCGAGTCTCCCCATTAGGAACTGGGCCTGTCTGAGGGACCAACCGCCTTGTACAATCTGATGCTGAAGTGCCATGCGTAGCGTGAAGCGTTCGGTTCAAACAGGGACTTCACTAAATGTTCAGTACTGAGTCTGGTAGTTTGATTCGGTGGTAATGGTGATCTTTGGGCAACTGTCGATGGTAGTATTGCAGTGTGCGACAGTGTAGTCACCCTCTTCGAATCACAAACGAGGCAAAGTCGAGTCTCCTCATTAGGAACTGGGCCTGTCTGAGGGACTAACCGCCTTGTACAATCTGATGCTGAAATGCCATGCGTAGCGTGAAGCGTTCGGTTCAAACAGTGACTTCGCTGAATGTTCTGTACTGAGTCTAGTAGTCTGATTCGGTGGTAATGGTGATCTTTGGGCAACTGTCGATGGTAGTATTGCAGTGTGCGATAATGTAGTCACCCTCTTCGAATCACAAACGAGGCAAAGTCGAGTCTCCCCATTAGGAACTGGGCCTGTCTGAGGGACTAACCGCCACGTGTAGTCGCCTCGTGCTGAAGTGCCATGCGTAGCGTAAGGCACTTCGGTTCCGACAGGGACTTACCCCTGACTTCCCCGGCACTTCCCGGCACCTCGTGACCGTGTTGGTCACGATGCATCAGGCAACGCCGAGGAAGCTCAGAACCAGCACACACTGCTCGAAGTTGAGAGACCACCCTAAGCGCTGCTATTGTGGTAACGCAGTTGTTGTGTTGGTCTAGGCAGCAAAGTTTTTGAGTACCGATGGCAGTTCAAAGAGACACTTCAGTTGCATTAGGTAGGTTGTTGTATGCCAGTCTCAAGAACCTGTGAACCAGATGTTGTTCGGCGATACTCAAATGAAAATACTTTTGGCTCGGATATATTTTCGTAAACCATTCGTTTTGTATGAGAATGTTCGGAATACGAAAATTATTGATCAGTCGAAAAGGTTTTATTTTGACAAATCAGTGTCGTTTTAAATGAAATTGTCGGGCTTTAACATTAGAAGAGGAAATGATACAAAACAGGGTGGTTTTTGTAATCTCTAGTATATTAATTTGAGCATTGCAAACGATATTTGAAGATGGCTTAAAATCCCACGCAAATAAAAATATAATTTTTATACCATCACATACCTACATAGTTTAGATACCAAATGATATAGTTAAACACTTGTATTATGGAAATCTGAAACAACGAAGGTAACAACACCCAGACCAGAGACAATATAGAAAAGCTCATTATCTGCATTAACATGACTGAGAGTGGAATGCGGGAGCTCAGAAATGGTGACACCTTGGAACTGGTGAGCCACTCGCCCAAGATCCGACATATGCAATCTGGAACATCCTGATTGTTCCATAAACTTACAGATCGCATTAGATAGCCCCCTCCAATGTGTCATGTCATGCATTGTATTTATTTCTAAAGTTTAATGAACTGGTTTCATTACCATTTAAATATTGGTGTGTACTTCTGGTAATCTACCTTGAATCAACTTGCAGTTGCAACCATTTTATGCACCCCCTTGTTTTTTGGGTGCAATATACTATTATCAAAGAAGAACTTGTTCGTTCTTCCCATCAGCCAAAAGACGTCCCGAACGAGTGGCGGGGAAAAATGTTGGACGATTCAAAAGAGAAGTCCATTTGAACAAATATTACTTTGACTTTGACTTTGAACTCTGAATTTGGCAAAAATTTCTGTAAAGACACCTCAGAAAACTTCTCCACGGCTCTGAACACATCAGTGCGTCTGCCACTTAATATTTGGAAAATATAATCCTTGTTTAATGTTGATTAGATTTTATCAAAAAGCATTAAGGTCTTTAGCAATAGATCAATCTGCAATTTATTGTAAACTAGTTCTAAACTAATTGATTCATACTTTAATTCTGTTAAGGTATTTGTTAATGCTGTAGATTGTACCATTTCTATAAAATTTAACTATAATGACTTCTATTTTTGCAAATAAATATCTTATCTCAAATCATCAATTGTTGTAGCAGAAACAAATCGCCTCAACTTTTATAATTTGAGCCTGTTTCATCTAATTTGGTTTCACCATAGACTGGGTCTTTAACGTTATTAAGAAAAAAAAAAAAATCCTATTTGAACTTGTGTTGATTGTTTTACTATAGTAGGTACATAAAGAAAATTATCACCAGTCGTAACCGCTGCAAGTAGGAACTGTTCAGGACCGTGGGGTCGTAGGGAACGTGATGGTGGCTGTGGTTGCCATAATTGCGGTCCTGGTATGGATACTATGTGCTATTTTGTTATGAAAAAATGCACAGGTGGATTTAGTTTTCCAGTTTTTATCATGCATTATCAAAAAATGTCACTGGTTGGGGTAACAAATCGAATGCAAATCACTTACAGTTTTTCTCGCCTCTGTACCTTACTTGCTCTCTCCGAGCTGGAATCCGACGACGCTGTTCGATGAGCTCAAAGACAATAATCACGCCTGCTTCAATGCTGTTTTCTTTGTATATTTCACTGTCCCGTTGCTCCATCGCGAAGGGAGGTTAATTTTATATTCATTTCATTTTAATTTTAACACTAAACTATATAATAATAAGTATAATTTGTGCACATTTTATGTAGGACCGATGTTTTCGCCACGAAAAACGACGCTATAATGACGGTAAGCGTTCGTGCATAAAAGTCATTGGTTCGCTACCCGCAAACTAGATGGCAGCACAGGCGCCGGAAGTAAGAGGGGAGGTAGTGTTTTGACCGGAAACGTCACAAAAAGGATGATGCTTGACTCAAGATGGATTCCGGATATCGAACGGAACAAATAATAAGGGAATTATCAAAATTTCCTCAGTTTTAATATAAATGCTTTTTTCCATCCTTATATAAAATTCATTTTCAGGGAAAAAGAGTCGGCCCCTAATCATTTGCTTTTACATATGCTCTTTTGAATTGTCGACAGTTTGACGGTGATATTTTGAAACCCGGTTACCGTACAGTGGACTTTATAGATCTTGAGCAATCAGCTGTAGCTCATGAACCTAGAGATTATCCACAGGACTGGAGAGAGGTAATAAAACTATGATTAGCCATACAATATAATAAGTAATTAACCTTACATTGAATAAAACAATCCCACTGATAACTATTTTTTCTGCGACCCATTGCAAAATTTACGATTAAAATAGACTTTTTCAGATATAAAATAAACATATTTATAATAAATATTTTTAATACAAAAACAAAGATTTTTTTACGGATATATTGAAAATGCGACAATTTAAGGTGTTTTAGAGTCTTCTCTGCTTTTCAGTTCCGTAAATCAGTAGTGATAACTCAGACTAAAGGCAGTAGGACGATGTACGGAAAGAATATATACGAGTACGGAATAAGAGCAAGCCTGGAAGAGAGGGAATACCACTGGAGGAGAGTGATCAACCATTATACGGCTGTCGTGGTGTTGCCACCGTATGGAAGGCGACACGTTGTTCCAGATAGTACCTTCACGAAACAATTAGCCGAAGCCGCATTAAAAACTTTATCTAGGAGTGACTTTGCTGTACAACCTGATTGGTAAGTTAAGAAAAACAATTATCGATTGACTATAGGTAAACAAAGGTCGATAGTCCAAACACAAAGTTTGTTGGACAATAATTAATAATTATTGTCTAGGAAATTCGTGAAACTGTACTGTGATTTTCGCTTAATTCATTATATATCGGAATGGGGTTGGCAATTAAAATATTAGCACAATTTTGATTTCTTACCGACAAAACATTCTTATATTTTCAAATCAGGTTAATAATTAATTAGTGTCGATGATTTTCTCCTATCATAATGACTGTACACGCACACAGACATAATCTTTGTTTATCATAAGTTATTGTTCTCTTAATCCTGTTTTATATGATCAGTTTTGCGCACCAAGATCTAACAATGTATTATCTGTAAGCCTAACAAATTAAAATATTATGTAAACTATCGTATTTTATACGATAAAAACTACTAAACGCTTATACAAGGACAATAGCAACAGATTTCTCAATTGAATCGATCAATTTATCATTAAGCTTGCTAACAATTTAACATGTCTTATATACTGAATTTCATATGAAAAATAATAATTGACAATTTTGATGTTTGAAGAGCCATGAACGATCCACAAAAATATCATGTTTAGCCTAATGATTGGAGTTAAAGTAAATATTAATGTATTTTTTAGTAGCAATCAAAATCTATAAAACTAATTTTCTTTTTTATTTAAATATTAGGTTTCCAAAAGGATTTATATACCCAAGGGAATAAAGAAACCTGGCGTGAACATGTTTTTTCCAGTAGTGTCGGAGCCTTTTCAATACAAACAAACAAAAAATCAGATCTAAATTCTTTATAAAATTAGAATACATGTGTTTCTTTTCTCAAAAATAGAACCGACTACAAACTTTAAAAATGTAATTAATAATAATTATCTCAAATTCAAGAAAATACTATTGAAGTCAGTCGACGTTTTCTGTGGGTTTTAATTAAATGATAGGTGCCGGACTTCAATAGCATTTTCTAGAATAATTTTTTAGTGACATTGAAATCCTATTAATATTATAAATGTGAAAGTTTCTTTGTTTGGATGTTTAGATGTTTAGATGTTTGTACGTCAATCACGCCGAAACTACTGAACGGATTTTGATGAAATTTGGTATACAGATAGGGTGTTAGCTGACTTAGATAATAGGATACTTTTTATCCCACTAAACATTTCCCTAGGGTCCACGCGGGCGAAGCCGCTGGCGAAAGCTAGTAGTATATATAATAGGTAACACTAAAAATATTAAATATCTATACAAAAATATGTCCACATTTATTTGCTTGACCTTTTTTTCAATAATCTATACTCATATTATAAAAAGGAAATATTTGATCGCTTGTTTGTTTGCATTAGATAGACTCCGAAACTATTGAACGAATTTCTATCAAACAAGCTATTTCCAATACTTATAAATGCTATTCTTTAAAATATAACGCACTCATATTAATATAGAGAATGCTATTGCAGGCTATACTGTCGACATGTAGAGCCATACTTCGACATGAGAGAGTCTGAAGTCCTGCATTTTATCAGACGACGAAGCGACGAGCCCAACTTCGTTATGACCAAGCTGAAACATTTGTACTCTAACATACCACCAGGATTATTCGACAAGACTTATCAGTGTTAGTCGTTTTTACTTTTGCAGTAACGTTAGCTAATCCTAATTCGTAAGATTTTATAATATATATTTATGGTAAAGTTTTGGTAATACCAATTACCAAAACTTTTGCTATTTTGGTAAAATATACCTTTTTATGTTTGACCCTCTTCATTCCATCTCTCCATATAGCCATACCTATCAAGGTGCATGTGAATATTAGTTACTAGCATTTATGTATGTGGGGAACCCACTATACATACATACAACATTCCATATTTATTTATTTATATATATTCACCACTACCATAAACATTCACATAAAGAGTTCATCATCATAGATTATTGAAACACTCTGGCAATTACAAAAAGAATAACAATAAAAAGAATATATATATTATACTGATTTATACTCTCTGATCAAATCATTTTTCGGAATTTGTTTAAGTATTAATATCTTTGAGACATTGACTATATTTAGTTATTTTGAGATTGTATATATTCAGACTAAAGAAATTGTGCAAAGTTATTTGGAAGTTTCAATTTTCATCATCGCTACTGCCATACTGGTGACCCCCGAATTGAACATCAAATAGCAAGACAAAATGGAGTCCGAACCATCGTCATCGATGTCGGAGACTTTAATTTAAAAAATAACGTCAAATTAATGTAATTTCTTGTTGAACACCAATTGTAAAAAAATAGAGTAATGTGACAATTACTTTTGTTACGTTATCTTTTATGATTGTTAATGTTTACATGTTTCCCGAGGAAAACTACCAAAACTAAGTCAATAAAATAACTTATTGTAGAAACCTTTTTTCTTAAATTGACAAGACAAGACCAGCACACGATCATTGCACAGAACAGAAAAAAAGAGGATTAATATGAATTGATCGCAGGTAACGAACAGCTGATGGCCCGCTTGTGTAAGGAGGCGGTTGCTACCAGCAGTTGGATCAACGACCACGAGATGGAGTGCACGACCTGCCAACTAGGAGCCGTTACTGCGTTCTTTGCTGGCGGTAAATAAGCATACATTCTACTATATTCAGAATTACTTGTAACATTACAATTATTATTTGAAATTATTCTTCTGAATTTTATTTCATAAGTATATTTAATAAATCATATTGTTAAGCAACTTTCACAAGGGTATGTCATGGGATGGGTGACCAAATAAAAATATTATCTCGAGCTACTTCGTGCTTCGGAAGGCACGTTAAGCCGTTGGTCCCGGCTGCATTTTCAGTCGTTAATACCCTCCAATCCGCATTGGGCCACCGTGGAGGGTCATGGCCCATCCTCCTTAACCATCCATAAGGAAGGCAACCTTTCCTCTTTATAATATTATTATATGTGACATCACGATATTAAAGGCACGCATTGAAGTCCCGTTAAAATGAATCAACTTTAAAATTAATGGTATTATATTCGGTTCTATTTTTGAGAAAAAAAAACACATGTATTCTAATATTATAAAGATGTTAGATTTGATTTTTTGTTTGTTTGTATTGAAGAGGCTCCGACACTACTGGATCGATTGAAGAAATAACATGTTCACGCCAGGTTTCTTTATTCCCTTCTATATATACTATAATAAAAACGTAACCGATCGATGTCTGTACATTGAAGATATATTTAAAAAATTGTCATGAGGGACATTTATAAGCGTAATAGAACACAAAACAATGATATTTAAATTTCTTGTCTGTTTGTCTGTTTGTCTGTGCGTTTGTGCACGATAATCTCAGAAACTACTGAACCGATTTAAACGCAGTTTTTACTATTATATTGCGGCATTCTTCCGTTAACATTTATTTCAATCGGTTCACAAATAAAAAAGATATGTCAATTTGAAGTGACGTGTTCGCCAAAATAGCTATGAAACCACCACGCGGGCTCAGTGCGGTTTTGAGGGTATTAACGACTGCATGCATCCGAGACCTTAACGTGCCTTCTGAAGCACAGAGAAATTCGAGATAATACATTTTCGGCCACCATTTTATGACCGGTCATTGCAAAAGTTGCTTAACAACAACTTAAGTATCGAAGACCGATCGCGCTAGCTACTGCGCCATCGAGATCCTCTAATGCACGTGACGTTGTCTAATATTTATTTATTATTTGAATATTTATTTGTATAAGAGGGTGGGCTGACACGGTGGCAGCAATACCGCGTGACCAGTACCCACGCTCCGGCTCCGACCGGTGCGGCGTGGCCGTACGGGCCCGCGGAGCCGTGGTACCGGCGTGCCGTCGCCGCCGCCGGGGAGCTCACCGTGCACGCGCCCGTCATGCCGGTACGACGGATGAGGAACACGGACGCTAGCCCGCCGCCGGTGAGCGAATCAAATCAAAACTATAATTGCAGGAAACTAATTTTAAGATTATTTCTATGTACGTGCCGTATCATCAGAATTTTTGTTATTCACATGCAAACTGTAAAGAAAAGTCATTTTATTAGACTCCTTCGGCTCAGTTTAGTATATTGGAAGAGTTCCATTTTGTTCTTTTTTATTATTCAATAGCATACAAAATAATATTTACCTTATATCTGTAACTACCCCCTTAACTTGTTGGGCTCGAAGGATCATATGGAAACCTGAGACGCCATTTGCTTTATTTGAGCATAATAATTAAAAAAAAATTAAAGTTACCAAGTAATAAAAATGTTCATTCATGTTTTTAGGGAGGTACTAGAGCGGAATGGCTGACGGCGGCTCGGGTGGTCACCAACCTGGACAAGAGTATCATCGGCGTAGCCGGCTACCACTTTCATCCCCAGCATTTACACGACCTCCTCGACTCTGTCACTAACAATACAGTCAGTAAATCAGCAGATTATGCAATACATCTACGCCAGATCCAGAGAACGCTACATATGACTTTCGTTTCCTTGACATTTAGAATAACATACTCGCCGGTTATTACCACTTTTTTGAAAAAAAATAAACGTTATTTGAATTAGAAATAGCTAAAATAGTGATCCCACGGCATAAGCATAGTTTTTACACTATAGAAAAAAAAAATCTCTGTTGTCGACTCCGTCCGGTCACTCGGTATCCTCAACTTGGCCGGCCCTCTTTTCCCTTATATCATGCCCTGATAATTTCGTCCGTAGTGTGATCTAGAAGATCCCGAGTGCAAGCCCAGCTGCGATGGTGTAGAGTGGAGTTGCGTGCTAGTGGACGAAGGCGGGTGGGTGGTGGCGGGGGTGGGCGCGGAGGCGGAGGCGGAGGAGGGGGCGCGGGCGCACCTGGCCGCGACACACCCGGGCGCGATGGCGGCGCTGCTCGGCGCGAGGGTGTTCACACTCAACTGGCTGCACGACTACCAGGGCGTCTGCTTCCCATACACCGACGAGAGGTCTTCTGCTTCTCTGGTCGGTGTTGTGTGCGATGATCTGATTAATATTTTTATTCATACCACATGTCGTGAATCTTCCTTTTGACAGATTGAACCCAACAGATTCCAATGATGACCGAACGAATGTAAGATGCCATCCATAAATTACGTCACACAAAAGTCAGGATTTTTAACCCCCCACCCCCCCTCCTGTCACATGTTTATCTATACAAATTCTACTAAACATTGTTCTAATGTCACAGTTCGTCGATCGATCGATGGATGACCCCTAATGTTAAAATATCACAGTCACATTCTGCGCTACATCAAAACTATGATTAATCAGGATTTGCCGAGCTTCAAATTAACTACCAACCTTGCGGTTTTCTTTTATGTATTACAGCGGCAAGCCATATTAATTGGATTAGTACCTTGCCCTAACAAAACTACACGAAACAACTTAGTTGAGACGGATTGATAAACGAATATTTATATAACTTTATATGAATTGTATAGCACATTAATAACGTTGTAGCCGGGGCAAGCTACAAGCTAGATATTTCATCACCATCATCATCACCAGCCCTTTTACGTCCCCACTGCAGGGGCTCAGGCCTTCCTTATGGATGGTTAAGGAGGATGGGCCATGACCCTCCACGCTGGCCTAATGCAGATTGGAGGGTATTGACGACTGCAAAATATTTACCATATAACTATTATGTACTCGAAAGCAACTATTGCACATAAAAAAAAAATTGCTCAAGATATTCTTTTACGTCACAGTTCTCATTGAATGTGTCCCGTATTTCGCATTATTTTCAAGTGTTTGCGTTCAAATCAGCAAAAATACTGACTGCACAGTAAAATATATCAAATTCATTTAACTTTGCGATTAGCAATTCTAGATGTAGAACTAGTATCATTTTGGTGTTCATATTATTTCAGATGCTCCCAACTATACTAAAAACGCTATGGCGTTCTATGTACTTCATAATAAAAATGACCCAGGAATTAATAGTACTAATCGGAGTTCTAAGTAAAGGTAAGATTTTATTATTCACATATGAAATTCTGTGTTTTCCCAATACACGTATGCCCAAAAAAGAGTATATTGTGTTTAGTTTTAACATAGTTATGTATATATATTGACAATTTAAAGTTAAAATCGTCTTAAACTGTACTCAAACGTCACTAAAACAGGTTTTTGTTACTTGTTTTAGTTTTTTAATGAACATTTGATAGCGGTTTGATAAATCTAGGACTTGTTGATTTGTGAAACGTAAAATCTTAAATTATTGAAAATAATCAGTTGAAATTTTGTACTTTTCTCAATTCAGAAACCGGTCCTATAACATTTAACTCACGTACCTATTTGAATTTATTAGGTAACATTGGAAACATTATATCCCGAGTGAGACCTAGCCATACCTCTTCTAATATCAATATAACGAATGTGTGATGGAAAAAATAAAAATTATATTTACAATAAATAAAAATACAGGCACCTCGGTATACGGTGACACTCAAAAGGAAAAAGAGAAGCGCCGTAATCGCCTGCGTCGCGACTATGAGCGTGAGAAATACGAGAGACTCTATGATGATAGAGTTTTGGTGAACAGAACGAGATTTGCGGCTTGCGACCGTTCGCGAGCTCTATACGTACTGAACGTAAGTAACGGTTAATTAAATAGTATCCTCCCAAGTCAATTGCCTGAAAAAGATTTCAATCATCTCCCGGGAAACCTGTTTTATTTTAGATTTCACGTGTCAAAATACCTTTACATACTATAGTGATGGATTCCTTTATACGCTATTTACTTTACACAAAAAAAAACTGTTTTGTAAACTAAAATAAATCATTTATTAGATATAAATAATAAAGGGTGTTTTTTTTGTTTGTTTGTTTGCATTAGGCTTTGAAACTACATCATACGTAGCTGACATAGTCTATAAAGTCGCGAGATAATAGGCAGTTTAAATATGAAAAGGAAACCTGTCACTATAATAAAATGTAAATATTCAGTCATAAAAAAGATTATATAAAAACATAATTACAATACCAACAGACATCATTTGTCGATACCTTATTTGTCGATAAGCAGCGCACAACAGAGGCGATGGAGCGTTTGTCACGCGCGCCTGTACTGTGCAGCTGGCCGCTGGTGGGCGCCCGCGTACCACACACCAACCTGTTACTACTCGCCATCTACAATCGCTGCCCATACCGGCACAAACCTGTGCCCGATCCTCTAGTCAACGAACCGGTAAACTGACATTCATTACTGCTGCCTCTCGTCCTCACAATCGCCGTCAATACCGGCAAAAACCCGTGCCCGATCCGCTAGTTAACTAGCCGGTTTGCTGACAATAATTACTGCTGCTTCTCGCCCTCACAATCGCTGTCCATACCGGCACAAATCCGTGCTCGATCCGCTAGCCAACGAACCGGTAAACTAACATTCATTAGTGCTGCCTCTCGCCCTCACAATCGCTGTCCATACCGGCACAAACCCATACAGCTCCGCTCAGCAAGGAGCCGAAACACTACGTACATTACTGCTGCCTCTTACCATAGTAAAACCTCTCACCCTGTGCAACCGCCGCCCAAACCGAGAAAAGCATCGCTGGTGTGACTATATTAAAACCTACAATGTGATTTCCTGTGTTTATATTTCAAAAGCTACAGCCCTGTCATAGACAGACAGCAGATGTGTATTAAAACTCTAACGAGGGCTACGGTTTTTTTGTTCATCAGATGGCGCGGCAGTCGCGAGAGATCCTGTCAAAGTATGTTCAATACGAGATTGAACTTAAATCATACATCATAATACATAAATAAAACATATTATTAAAAATATCGAATATGCTGAATAAACACGAACTAACCTCTGATTTAGCTCTTCTTTCCTTGCGCTTAATTTTGCATTACTTTTCTTAGTTCCGGCTTTAAATCACTGACATTCATTGACCGGTAATTTATAATTGCTTTTTGAATTTTGAAGACCTCACGCTACACTAGCGCCTCTAGTGGCAAATTCTAACGCGTTAGCCCTCATTGTCGTTGACATTATATAATCTATCAAAAGGCAAATTATCACGTTTTAATAAAAATTATGTTCTCAAACCATTCAATTGAAATTCAACACGGGTCATTCTTCCACAAAACGTCTAACTTAAACCTAAACTATGAAAAACTTCCATAAGCCCATTTTTGTGAATTTTTTAATAGGTAAATGTCACCAAACTGATGGCTAAAAAGAAAATGAACTGGGGTCCGATGTCGACGGCCAGTGAACTCGCATGCTGGCGCAATGCAGAACCATTGCCGGGTCGCATGCCGCACGTTCAATGCTACCAACACAACTACACACAGGTTAATTTCAGCAAATTTCAATTTACAAGTTATAACCAGAGGTCGGAATTATGTAGAGTTATTTATGTACTTGCATCGAAATGTTGATATTAATGTGGACCTTCCCGGGATTTCTAATGGACAATCTTGGACATCCGATGTCATTGATGTAAGTTTGGCAACGTCGTGCGTGCAGTAGTTTAAATTGTGTAAAAGTAAATAACTTTTTATTTAAAAAATCACAGAATTTTTTCTGCTCTTTAAAATTAATCTCGGGATTTGAGGCATGTCCACTTTATTCTTTCGCTGTATGAAATCAGTGTAAGTACATGAATAACTCTACCTAATTCCGACCACTGGTTATAACATTAAAAACGGTCACTATGAGAAAGTCTGAAATTATAAAACATAAAAAGATCCGATCTTAAGTCAATCAATCCGCACGTTTTCGAATTAAAGCTTTTATTATTTGTACTTAGGTACAGATTGTGTAGGTGTTAAACAGATAATATCTAAAACAAGGTTCGCTGACAAATATCAACGGATATACCTATATCAGGATCTTGATATAAAGATTTATATCGATTAATATACACAACGATATACATCAATGGATATTTATATTCATTGCTAATTTGATTATTGAGTATTCAGTCTCAGCTACAAAATCAACCAAGCCGATGTGACGCTAGCAACATTGAAAAATATCGATTTTACACAAATCGATTATTTTATCCCTAGTCTATTCCTTATGAATTTTCCGGATCGCGGACACAGCAGTGCACAAGCATAAACACGTTTTTCATTGCCGCCATCACGGACCTGAAAAAACCGGTCCGGAATAGAGAAAAGTAAAATCCCGGACGGTAAAATTCCTGACAGTGCACAGACTAGCATTACCTATATATGGCCTGACATATCGGACCGGAAAAAGTCGGACCGCCGGACATGAAAATTCAGTGTAGTGCACAAGCGCCCTTACTTACTATAAATATCGTGTTTTTCCTATACGTTACAGGAAATCCTCGCTCGCATATTACTTCTTAACTATTTCATAATAAATAAACAAGTATTAAATAAAGCCACTGGCAGCTCAAAAATCGCAGCTTTTCATATATCGGATAAATATCGAATATCGGATTTTTGCGATCCCTGATCTAAAATGAAACAAACAACGATAGACACAATCACTAAATATCGTTGCGTTGACATTTTCTTCACTATTCCTGAAGGACAGCATTTGATAAAATTATGGTTGATTAAATGCTATTGACCTCTTATTGCTAAAAATTGACCATTAATATTTAAATACGTACAGGTTTACTTCTACTGTTTTCATTTTAAAACAATTATAGACTATTTGTATCAAAGGTGGACCAACCCTATCAAACGCTTTCAAGAATTCCGTACAAATTTAAGCGACCTGCCCCCTTACTCTCGCAAGCAATCGCGACCGAACGACATTGCAGCTGTGCCGTTTCGTACTCTTGATTGAGTATACCAGCGCTAGAGTATGCTACTGTACCTAATCTCAACATAATCATTCCTTTTTTTATTGCATAATATGCCAGATATATATGCTATAAAATGACAAAGAGCAATTTTTTTTTTATAGGAAGAGGGATATCGACAGTGCGGGCCGTGGCTACCGGATCCCGAAGTGGAAGCTAATAATGCTCAGAATCTATCGTTCTTAATTTCACTCAAATCATATCTTTTATTGATATTTATTTATATAACATAATAAATACTATATTGCATAATGAAAACAAAAACTTGAATTGCCAATATCTTGTTTAATTCCATTTTTTAACAAAGTTTTGTGGTTCCGGAGTGTTAATAAAACAGATAATATCATTGCACTGGATTTAACCTCAACCCTTTACATTAGACTTAAAAGTTGCGTTATTGCATTCTTGGCTGTACAATAATTTCTTTCATTCGAAAACAGACTAAATTTGAATTATAATAATATTACTCCTTTGTTTATTTGACTAACATGTATGTATTATTGATAGGGATGTTGACTACTTCATTGGGCTAAAGTAACATATCTAAATTTAGAAAAACGAATTCTTTACACATTGTGGTTTTTTAATGCTATATACTAACATCCGGAATTACTCGACAGTATTACATATAAAGTAAAGATAAATGTGTGAAATTCGTAATTTAAGAGCTCGACTGTAAATTCCTACGCATTAAATCGAAGCTGGCCGTCGTGCTCGATTCAAGTGTATTGTGTCCGCGAGTCGAGATTCTGTCCGCCAATGTTAAACGTGGTTAATCACATATTTATCCCAAAACAATTTCTGAATTTGCATATTATTCTAAACGAGTTACCAAGGAATTTATTAATTTATATAGAGATTGTGATTGTGTTGGGAACGACATTAAACTTTTGACTCAAACAGTTTTATTAATACTGTAAGTCGCGCCTAACTCAATAGAGGCAACGTTAAATCTCTGGATGCAATTTTTTACTCAACAGTTCGGCTCGTTTGCTTGATCGATTATAACCGTAAGAGTTTAATATTGAATCACGTTCCAAAATGTCAATACTTTTTTGTCAATTAATCTCTATAAAAATATATACTACGTAAAGAAGTGACGTGATCGTAAAATTGCTCGCGACTGTGTGCGTTCCGACAGGCTGATTTGTACTAGCGGGAAACGTTTTCCGGCTTCCTTGATTGCCTATCGCTTGTAATTTGCTCTCTCGTGTTTCATATTGTAAAAAACATAATTATTGTTACAATAACATTAAGTGTTAAATAAATCATAACTTAAAGAGGTTGTTTTTTTTTACATTTAGCGAACTAACCCTGTTACTTTCTAAGAATAGGTAGTTTTTTTAAAGATTATAGCAAAGGATTTTAGTTAATTGCAATGTTAATACAACCCTATTGTATCTACAAGCAATACTCACTCGACTCAGTGTTGACACGTACAGGGAGTATCGAATTTGAAGATATATTGCAAAACACTGGAATAAGATACAACTGATATGGCTCACCGACATACCTGCGCAGAAGGTTAAATTTCGAAACGCCTCAAATTTTGTATTTGACAACTTATGATTTTTAAACAAGCCTTATATTAAATCGTTCGTTGGGGTCATTGTCTTAATTGGCAAATCTACTCTGCGCTAACCTAGATATTAGTTAGAACTTACTATACAGTTTAATTTAATTCAAGGGGAGATAAGTATATATTTAGTGTGCTTTTTTTCACAATGTCGTTTCCATAGATCTTTGAGTCACTATGAGATCGAGTGATTTGATTACGTTTTCTTCATACAATACTATATTTTTTATGTGAATGTAGCCAATATCCCTTAGTTTTTATCAACAACAAACATTGTTTCGATGTTTAATTTCTATTTACATTATTAAATACATACAACTTATACAGGTGTAAATGAAATAACTTTTAAACGGTTTCATCGCGTTTGTATTTTACTTTTATTGACGTTTCGGACCCTTTACTGGTTTCGTGTTCACATTAGACTAAGGTGTTGATTGTCTTTTTAATTAAGAGTATAGCCACCTTCAAAACAATACTATTAGACACATTCACAATATAGTAGAACCTGTAAAGGGTCCGAAACGTTAATAAAAGAAAAATACAAACGAATACGGATTCATTTATGGATAGTGCGCGTGAATATATAAGAAATCAATCATATAGGTGTACCAAAAAAATTGCATGTAAAATTGCCGTTTACATTAATAATTTATAAAATTTGATTCTCATGATAACCACATATCCGAAATAAAAAAAAAATACAATTAAAAACGAAATAATATACAAATTCATATGTAAGACAACTAACAATGTAATCCAATTAAAGCTCACAGCGTGTCTGACGGCTACGTCTCTGATGTTCAACGCAAATAATCACTTTAGAAGTTTTCAGACGAACAGCGACCTTCCTGGTTTAACATTCTTATTTCTAAGGCTATGGGGCGCTGATGATTTTTCCTGATGGGTTCCGTACCGAAAGGGCAAAACGGGAACCCTATTACTAAGACTTCGCTGTTTGTTATGGTGACTTATTATCTCTGTTACCGTGCTCCTATTATTTCCACTCTCATGCACAATGACAGAAAATAAAAAGTCACGATGAGGAATACTCACCAATGGGTGCGTAACCTAAATCAGGGGTTAGATATTATTTTTGACACGCCTGTTTTACCAATGTTTCTACAAGTATTATAACAATGATTTTTGTTTACATTTTAATAAAAATATATAAATTATATAAACATAATTCACTTAACATGTGTACTGAACATATTGAGAATACTTCGTACCTCATTTATTATGTTATAAGAATAAATGTATTTCTTACAACCCTGAAAATTCAGACTATCAATATTCTATTATTTTAGTTTAAAATGAACATTTAACAGGTATTCAAAACATATCAGAACATTATGTTTTAAAACAAAGAAACATACTTACTTCATACAAATACATACATATATTAAAGGACTGACAATACAAATCGAAAAAAAAAATTGTCGAGATTGTCACTGCGCCCCTGTTATATATTCATTTCAATAATACGAACCGATTTAAACTTGAATATTTACAGTACTAAATAAGAAAATAGCAATTGGTAGGCATGCCTAACCATAAGTCATAATAACCCTTATGCACTAACAGAAATATTTTTTCTGATATTACCATTTGAATTTACTTTTTATCATAAAGAACAAACAAAGACAGCAAAAAATTAAATAGACAAATAATAACAAAGGAAATATACTTTTATCAAAAATAGGAATGTAACTCAAGAATGTGGTATTCCTTACAGCAAATTATTTGTTTAAACAAAAACGAAAAAACAAGTACCTACCTAACTTTATTTAGAAGTAGAATTTATTTTATCGCATATTTATACTCATTCAATCCTTTTCCGCTTTGGCACTATTTACATATAGGATACTTTTCTGTCAATATCAGATTTCATCCAACATAGTAAGTTAATTTGAACATCATATTTTCAACACCAATTTTATTAATCTTGTATTGGAAACTACACATCTTATATACTAATATAGAATCTGTTAGTTATATCGCTAACTAGCAACTTCATTAACGCTATCTTAATATTACATGTATTTTATACAAACTATATTTATAAAGATTAATTTAAAACTACCATTCAATAAAAAATACATAACAAACATTATTATAACAAAATACAATAAAAAAATAACTAAATATTCTTTGGTATTAGATAAAAAATATAAAATTTTATTTGTGTTTTCTTTTATAATGTCGACTCCACATCATATATGAATATTTGTAAATACACCTCACAAATAATATTATAAAACAAATTCATTATATTCTACAATCAACAATAAATTAATACTAAATAATAAAATTATATCAGATAATATGAATCCTATATAACAATGTTAAATAAATTTTATATTTCACGTCATAGACGAATCTGTAGGTCATATTATATATAGCGAAATGTAAAAAATTAAAATCTTTTCCACAGAAAAAATATGAGAAAATAGTTTCCGTAGTTCGAGTTTCATTTATATCTTACCATGGGCAGAATGGTTGTTTAATACCTAAAGCTTAGTAAATTAGATTTTTAAAATTTAAGAAAATTAACTTTACCCTCCCAACATTATATATAAACCCTCCCAACTATTTATATAACATAAATTAGGTCTAAAAATATACACTTTCGATTTGACACTTCAATCACCGTTATTGCAAAGAGAATAAAGGCCACGAAATTATACAGATAATATATTTAATCGTGACAGTCCACAGAGCACTCTTAACTACTTGCAGCTATAATTTGAAAATCATTATCAAACAAAACTGCTTACGTGAAGTAAAAAAAAACTGTGATTTGATGTGAATGAACTATTGAGCTACATGTCGAAATCACGTACTTAGTACTGGTATCCATAATTTATATTAAATCGTCACTGATATTTGTGGCATCACTCCTCTTCGGAGTCCGTATCTGAATCAGGTATGGTATTGAACCAGTTCTCCCAGTTCGACGGAGGACCCATCACTGGGCGGCTAGAACAAAAATGTTTTTAAAAGAACTCATACAATTAAAAAAAACGGCATAATGCGAGCCGGCCTGGCGCACGAATCTTTTCGTACCATTATTCTGTTATTTAGTATTTATATGTAAAATAATGACGAAATAATGGTGTTTGTTGTTATAGCTTATAACAGCATCAGAAATACATCATCTATGAAAATTTCAAATGCCTGACTAACATGGTTCTTGAGATACAGTCTTGTGACAAACGGATGAACAAAAAGCAGTCTTGGCAATAGGTTCCCGTTTTTACCCTGTGGGTACCTCTAAAATCTTGTTAACCATAAAATTAGTAAGTTCACTTACTTGAAAAATTTTATTCTAATTTTAGTTTGAACATATTCGATAAGGAATTCATATCAAAGGATGTTAACTTATCTATCAATTGATGCGACAGGGTAGGGGGTTTAGTAATTATTTCTTTAAACTATTTCAATAAATAAATTCATTTGTATTGCCTAAATTATGAGAGCTAAAAATGGGGCGACAAGTACTACACGGCCTAGGGCTGCCACGCCTACAAATTCACCTCTGACTGTACAGTGATATATCTGTAGGGTTACTAGTCGGGATACCTCTGCTTGGTGACTGGCTGGGGCAATGTGCTAGCGGCGGGGGGCGCGGCGAGCGGGGCGGCGGGGGGCGCGCGCCGCTGCAGCGTCTGCGTGCCGTCCGCCGCTTCCTCCTCCCACCCCTCCTCTAACACCCATCTACAATATATACCACAATATACATCTACCTACTACCAGTTTCATAAACGAGGTTAAAAGTAAACATTGTATATAACGTTTAATACCAGCCAGAACATCTTGGGGTAGGATAGTTACATATACTGAACAACTTTTACTATGGAAACAACACTGAATTCACGAAAAAATTATCCTATAATCACGAACGGTACAAAAACCGTATAACTTTTTATTACTATTTGGCGACAAAAAATGTAATGAAAGTGTTTGTTATTGTTTTAAAAAAGTGATGTAATTCAATGAAATAATATGTGTGGATAGTAAACAGAAACTATTCTATGAAGTACCGGATCATGAACGGTGATTAAATTAATATTTTTAGTGAGAATAATCATCCACATTCATTACTTTCAAACAGTTATCTGATCTTCTATTTGTACACTGGAATAAGACGTTATGAATATATTTTAGTATAATCCCTACGAATATAAAAAATACAAAATAAATTTTTAAAACAAATAGTCTTAAATAGGGTAATTTAAAATAGTTTTAAATATTCGATAAGGTTTTAAATTAAAATAGTTTTAAATTACACTTTAAACATAACAAATTGGCACATTACATGAATATGACGTTGAAATAAACTGTATTGTTTAATAAAAATCGATGTTAATGTTTAAATTTTCGAATCCGCGCGAGATACGCGGTCTGTAGGCCGCTGTTACGCCACGTATCACGCAACACAACAAACCTCTTCAAACTAAAACCGTCAACAGGAAGCCATATTTTCTACCGTGTGATGTCATCGAAGTTTCAACCACTTACAAGGCGTTTTCGTCTCAGATAAAATGTCAAAAAACATCTAATTTTATTTTGTGTAATCTTCAAAAAATTTAGATTATTTCGTTTTAAATGAAGTGTTATTACGCTATTATCTTATAGCGTGACCACTCTTTTTATATATTTTTAATTTTGTCAAATACCTTATTGGACTTATTGAATAATTATACAGCAAAATCTCATCACCTGGAGCTGCTAGCGGACTTGCAGTTTTCGCATTCACTGCGATAATCATCGGGTTCCTCACTGCCGGGTACATTCTGTTCGTAACTGCATACGCATGACGGCTGCAAAACAATAATGTGTTGACTCTTCAAGTATGAATAGGTTACGGTAAACCCCAGTATGTTGGTAGCGAGAAATTCTGTTTTGTATAGAGATATAAATTAATCATTGTAATAATGTCTTATTGATATAAATTATTTGCATAAAATAAAATCAAAGAGTCGACGGAGAAATCGGTAAGGTTTGATCAATTATATCGCGTCCATATTCATACTAATGGATAACAAGGTTTTCATGGTGGAAGACCAATATAAATATTACCAGACACGTACGAGTGAGTGAGCTTTACACAACAAAAGCGTACTTTGTTTGTTTGCAATGTACAAAAGGATCTTCTTAGTATCAATTAAGAATACTTTTTTTAATGCAATCTAAACTTTACCTTATCGATAGTTAGCGGCAGTGTGCTGTGTGGGGGCGGGGCGATAATAGACGCGGACGTAGCGGAGACTGGGGCCGGGTTGTGGGCAGGGATGGGGATAGGGGCGGGAGCGGGGGCGGGGATAGTTATGGGGGCGGAAGGAGGGTCTGGCGCGGGTGGAGGCGGATCCGTGCCCAAGTTTTGTTCCTCGCTGTGTGCACGCGATCTCCCACCCGACATACATGACAGAGGCCTATTAAACATTTTTATTGTCATAAGTTTATCAATTGAAAAGTCGCACATAGAATCTTATCTATGTTAATATTATAAAGATGAAAGATTTGACTGTTTGTTTGCTTGCATCGAATAGGCTCCGAAACTACTGGACCGATTTCAAAAATTCTTTATTTTATATATTGCTATATTTTATTCCGAATAACAACAAACAAAGGGATGAAAGTGGAGTGGAAGTTTGTACAGGGAATTAAAACGTTACCATGATAACATTTGTTTACTATTCAATTTGTCATTGTTATTATTGGTGTCATTATGTGAATCAAAATCCAATAAACAGTTCCTTAGGGAACACGCGGGCGAAGCGCTAGAGGAAAGCTAGTCCTATATAATTATTAATTGTGCGAGGAGTAGCAGACCCTCCGATTGATTTTGTGTGATTTTTAAAGATCCGAAGAAATTATACATTCATTTTTGTAAAAGTATGAACAGTGAACACACCAGTCACATTTGATTGCTATAAAAAAGGTTTAAAATCTTTATATAAACTGAAAAACTGTACAATGTACGTGCGTTACATAATATTTACATGCTGGTGGTGGTGCTCGCTGGCGGGTAGAATAATGAATAATTTTCTTCTTCTTCTTAAGCGCTACACTCTTGACAGAGTGGTCGTGGTCGTCAAGTCGACATTAGTGGCCTGCTTCACAATGCGACGCCACTCCTCCCGTGCAATAATGAATGATACACGAGTACAATGTCATTGTATATGGTACTCACGCTGCGGTGGGCCGGGGGTCGGCGGCGCGGTCCAGACTGCGCGGCACGCTGCCGGGCGCGTGGTGGTGCGCGAGGGCGGGTAGTGCGGCGCGCTCGGCGCGGTGGAACGAGCGGCGCACCTCCCCGCACAGCGCGCGCTCGCGGGAGAAGCACGCCTCCAGCGCGGCCGTGTCCACCGCCGTTGATATACGAGGTATCGTACGGTGCCTAAACAACATAATAATGTAGGAAATGGGCTCAGGGAGAAGTGAAAACACACGAGTTATTTTATTGAAGTTCTGTATACAAAAATCGTTTCAATGACTGATCAATCGAGGGACTAATAGGGATGAAGACTAATTATTGTTTGTTTTTCCGTCAGATAAATTGTTGATAAATATTAAACACAAAGTTCTTTTTATTTTTGGCGTTATCATTAAATTATTATTTTTTGCGTTATACATTGAGTTAAAATGTCACATGACGTCACGATTTTGTACATTTTCTACAAAACTGTAACGGAATGAGAGCGCACACCTCAACTTTAATGGCTGTTATCTATTTCTTGTTAATTTGAATTGAAGTAAAAAAAGACGTATCTGACTGACGGACTAATTTTTGGTTTAAGGCCCTGCAATGGGGACGTAAAAGGGCTGATGATTATGATGATAGACAAGATGTCACTGTAGCCATGGTCGTAATAAATGTAGTCCACTGTATAGTGGACTGGGAAATGTTAACAGATGAACATATTTACTCCAGAAAAAAATTTAGTGAAATAAAATAGTTCCATTTTACGGCTTTTAACGTGTTCTTTAATAACGTTAACGCCAAACAATTGATAAATAATGATGATTTTGGATTTAACAGCAGTGCGTTATGAACTTAATCGTTTAGTCATCGAATAACCAATAAAAGACATGTCAAAGTAGTAAAACGAAGCGAAATATCGTCATAACATTCGCTAAGAGGTCGTATATTATGTCTAGAGATACACCCGGTTTCCGAATTGAGTCCTATTCAAAGTAAAGCACGTCTTAAACTGTATTTAAAAAACACTTAAACTGATTTTCGTCACTGATTAGTTCTTTTAATAATCAGTTTACAGCAGTTTCATAAAAACTAGTCGTGTTCCTGTGTCCTGTGTCGTGTCGTGTGTTAAAAGTAAAAAAACTAGAGTTATTGAGAATAATCAGTTGAGATTTTATAGTTTTCGCACTCGTGCTCGGTGCACGTGTACTCACAGCGAGGTGTGAACGGCGGTGTTGGTGTAGAAGCCGGGCACATTGTGGGGCCTCTCGTGTTCTGGCTCGCGCTGCAAAACGCTCAGCAGGCCGCGGTTACTGATCGCACCCAATGACCCGGTCAAACGGATCGTACTTGGAAACCCCAATACTATCGACCGATAAAACTTTAATTGAGTATGAGTACCATATTCTCTAAAAGGACATACTAATAAATATCTTTAGTACATTTTTTATTATGTAACTTTTAAGTGATGACTATGTGAATGTAATTATGTATTAATATTGACATTTATATACTTCAAACATTAAACGTTACCTGGTGTACAAGCTTTTTAATTAAAAAGTACATTTCTTCATGTGTTAAGATACCCAATAAATAAACAGCTTTTAATTTCATCTGCTGCTCATAAAAAGTAATATATTTACCACATACCGTTTGCTGTAAATGGATGATGCGGAATTGAATTGGGTTCTCGGGGCTCAGGAGGTTGAACCGGTTGAAGCAGAGGTGCATTGTAGCAATTCTGAGTGTTCGCTATCTGCAGTAAAGAACAGAAAGCTAAGCCCTCAGATTTCATATTTCAACATAAGTTTGTTACGAACTTCCCTAGAAACAAGAGTATAGTGAAATCGAGCCATACCTTTATAATTAGTAAAGGAGTAATTGCAAAAAACAGTACCAACGCTCGTATTTTTTTTTTTCTGGAATGTTATTGTATTTAAAGTATTAAAAAAAATATCCAAAACTAATTGTCTGTTTATAATTAAAAGAATCCTTGAACTCGTGCTTGATTTCTTAAGTGTACGTGGCATGGACCAACATAGATTAGGAAATACTGATACAGCGTTAACACATAATCGAGTCAAATGTACCTGTTGGACTGGACGCGGAATATTAACATAACCATGGCCCGAACACTGCACTGGCTCATCAGGACGAGCGAGCGCCTCCATTGTGGTCGGGTACGTGCGATGGAATGGCGTTTCATTACTTACTCTACAAAAATTATATACATTGGTATAATGAAAGACGTTGTTTCTATATCAGAGTTAGTTCTACGAGTATTAAGGTATATCATTTCCGTAAGTTTCAAATCTAACATCACGTTTTGCAAAGTCGTGCATTTACAACTTTGTAAAATGAAAAATATAGATAACATAAAGATAACTTTTTAATTCATAGAAAAATACTTTTTTTACTATTTATATAACTGCAATATAAATAAATATATATCATCATCAGATTTTACAAAACGTCTTCACAAATTAACATAGCAAGATAATATAAATATTTTGTGATTGTAAATAATAGGGGTTAAAGTATGAAATTGCCGATTTGTACTGAAAAACAAAATTGTTTATTTTTAAATTTTGTTTAAATTTATTTAATCAAAGTAGTTACCATTATTATCTATACATTGCCGCCATCTAATAGGAAGGTCATTTATGCCTTTGCATTAGAACTCTGAGGATCTAGGCTGCACAAACTGTGTGAAAGCATTTTGTACTGCCTCCTGGGAAGAAAACTTCTTGTCACGTAGATAATTGTCCAAATCACGAAAAAGCTGGTAGTCCGCTGGAGCAAGGTTTGTGCGAATACGAAGGACGACGAATGGTTTCTAACTGCAGTTCCTGAAGTGTCAAAACAGTTTCTCGTGCTTTATGAGGTCTTGCGTTGTCATGGAGCAATAACGGTGAAGATCGATTCATGAGTTGGGTCTGTTTTACTGCTGGTTTTGCCAATATTGTTCGGAGTTCGGTATAATAGACATCTGGCGTTATTGTTTGAGATCGGAGAAAACTATAGTGAATAACACCATGCTGAGACCACCAACAGTTACCATTACCCTTTTATTGGTAAGTTTTGCTTTAGGACTCTGTTGTGGCGTTTGACCTGGGGTCAGCCATTGCATTTTTCTTTTACGGTTATCATAAACAATCCACTTTTCTGTTCCTTCATTTCTGTACTGATTCAACAAGGCAACACAAGTTTCAACACGCGTTTATTTATGCAGATCAGTCAAATCATGAGGCACCCATTTTACGTTTTTTGTTTTTATTTTATTGATTTGACGTAAATGAGTCAATATTGTGGGTAAGGTAACGATAAACCATGCCGCTAATTCCTGGGTAGATTGACTAGGATCGGCTTCCACCATCTCATTTAATTATCGTTATTCACCTGCATGTGTGGGCGGTTTACCTCGTGGCTCGTTCTGCAAATCTAAGTTTCCATCACGAAAGCGTTTAAACCAAAATCGCACGGTGTATTCATTAACAGACTCCTCTCCAAACGCAACATTGATATTGCGGGCTGTTTCTGCCGCGTTACTTCCGCGTCGGAACTCGTATTCAAAAATCACTCGAATATTCGCAGTATCCATTTTTCTTGTCTAAGTTGAATAACAAAAACAACTGAAAGTCCATATTCAAATGTTTCACGTTTTTTAAAAAGTCATCATTGAAACCATATGAAAAAAGTTTCTTTCGAAAACCTTAACCTACGAAGATTCTATGTCAATTCAAGGAACCTATTACAATAAAACGGCAATTTCATACTTTAACCCCTAATATATTGAAAATAATATCAGCTTGTCTTGTCGCATTCTTACCTGGTATCAGGACGACACTGTGCTATTACTTCATCATATGGTGGTGGAGCTTCGCCACGAGGCAAGTAGTTTCCATGAGGTTTCCATGCCCCCATTGCAGTTTCACATGTTCCACCCATATAGCCCATACTACCACTGATGTATCTACAACAATATTAAATAAAATATACTTATAAATATGGCTTTACTTAGATCTATTTGTAAGAAAATTTGGCGTGGTCCCTTGATAGCTTTATGACAATTATTATTTTCATAGAAACATTTACTTAATTTTAGTTTTGAATTCAGAAAATATATTTTATAGCCCACTATATTTGAAAGCGGTTTAAAGAGGGCTTTCAAATAAATACTGTAGGTTTTGACTTTGGACAACCTATGTAGGTTGGATGGATGGTCGAATGGATCGCACACCGGTTTTAAGATGTCGCCATCTTCGAGGGTTCCGGTTTCAACTCCCAGTTAGTTCAATGTAGGAAATGGACTCTCCTGTGGCAACACTAGCGTAAACAGCTGTTATTATCTCTTACTTTTTAGTTTTTTTATATTAATATTTATGTTACTTATGGCTAATTTCTAAAGAGTCACGTAATATTTGTGTAATTGAATTATAAATATTGTTAATGTGAACATCAGTGTATCGTAATGAAACTTGTTTTTACGTAAGTACAAATCTGTATCAACCGGTGAATGACGTCACCCTTTTTAAAATTGTTAATCGTTGTTGTTCCTCATGTATGATTTCTTTTGTTTTTTTTTTTCTCGTCTATTAATGCATCACGAATAATATTTACAAGCTAAGTTACTTTTTAGCCAAAAAGTGTTGAGTTTTCCTTCAGACAATCTCACACTAGTTGATCGAACGACTTCTTGGACTATTGCTTTATACTTTAAATAGTTTTCTATTAACCTAAAATGATGACACGTAAGGCCTTAGCTCGTCAAGAGGAATCAAAATTTCAAATTACTTTACAGGAATTAAAGGCCACCAAGGAGTTGGTTGAGCAATTACTTAGGGAGAGGGAGGATAATGAAAAAGAGTTATTGGATGTGCTAGAAAAGAATAAGCAATGTAAAAAAGAACTGTCTGAATTGCATTGTAATTATTTAGTAATAACTGAGGAGAAAGATAGATTACAATTAGTAATAGAAGGGTTCGACCAATGCAGAAGTGAGTATGAGAAGGCCCTTAGGCTCATTTCTGGATTGGAACAGCAACTACAGGAGGCTAACGATTGCATATATAAACTGGAATCTGAGCAAACAAATGTTAGGGCCTCTCAGAACCAGAGTCTATATGATGAGTTGGTTGGTTGTGCCCCCAGTCTCGTTTCTGCCTCACTTAACACTAACCCAGTGACAATTGGATTGACTACAGAAGATTTTATTGAGTGTTCTGTAAAAAGAGGAGTTGTTAAGTGTAGTAGGAATAGATTGAGAAAATATATAAAACTAAATAGGTATGTTAATAAAACAAAAAAACTATAACATAAACAAAAATTAATTAACAAAAATTCGAAATTCTCAAAGGAACGCATACAATTGATAGAGAAATTAGAAACTTGCCGTTCTATAATCGATGAAAATAGGACAACCTATGAAGAGAATATTAAGTCAAGTCAAGTCAAGTCAAAATAATCTTTATTCAAATAGACTTCTTAAAAGTACTTTTGAATCGTCCAACATTTTTTCCCTACCACTCGTTCAGGACGTCTTTTGGCTGATAAGAAGAACGAGCAAGAAACTCACCAGCTCTAATATGAGTAATGACATTTACAAAAACCATGTCATTACCAGATCAATACATTATAAACAGAGATAAAAAAAAAAAAAAAAACTATGGTCTTATAATAATAACATAATCATTTAATAATAATGGAAACAAGATAATGAGTTTAGAAGTAATCACCTATCCAGTTGCTGGATCATCTCAAGTCCAAGCGTTCTTATCTGTTACATAATCGGATACCTTATAATAAGCTTTTTTAATAAGTATTTTTTTAATAGTAGATTTAAACTGCATGATATCTAATTGTTGTATTTTGCTTGGGACCTTATTGTAGAAGCGCACACAAAGACCCTTGAAAGAGTTATTAACTTTTTGCAGTCTAGTGACAGGCACCGTTAATTTATTTTTATTTCTTGTATTAAAATTGTGTACATCACTTTTAATAGAAAACAAACTAATATTTTTACGAACGTACATTAAGTTCTCGTATATGTATTGAGAAGCAACAGTCATAATGTCTATTTCCTTAAATTTCTCCCTTAAAGAGTCCCTAATCCTAAGATTATAAATTGATCGAATTGCTCTTTTCTGAAGCACAAAAATTGTTTGTATGTCGGCAGCATTTCCCCACAATAGGATACCGTATGACATAACACTATGAAAGTAACTGAAGTATACTAATCTGGCAGTATCTATGTCAGTTAACCTACGTATCTTCATTACGGCATATGCTGCAGAGCTAAGTCTACTCGACAATCTATCAATATGTGGGCCCCACTGTAGTTTAGAATCTAATGTTATTCCTAAAAATACTGTGGTATCCACAAGGCCCATGTTCTTATCTTTTACATTAACATTTATATCTACTTTTTTAACATTAGGTAGTACAAATTTTAAGCATTTTGTTTTTCCTTCATTAAGGAGAAGATTATTTACATTAAACCAATGTACTACTTTAGCGATAGAATTGTTCACATCGTCATTTAGAGGTAACCCTCTTTTAATTTTAAACAAGAGTGAAGTGTCATCCGCAAACAAAACTATTTCGTGATCATCCCTTACGAAATAAGGCAAGTCATTTATGTAAATCAAAAACAAGAAAGGACCAAGTATTGAGCCCTGCGGAACGCCCATCTTAATTTTCGATCCAGGGGATCTTTTGCCATTGATATCAACCCTCTGTACTCTGTCAGTCAAGTATGAGACAATAAAATCCAATGAGTTATCTCTAAATCCATAAAAATGCAGTTTCCTAATCAATGTTTCATGAAAAACACAATCAAATGCCTTAGATAGGTCACAGAAAACACCTAACGCATCATGTGAATCCTCCCAGGCATTAAAAATTTCTTGTATTAACTCGACACCGGCTTCGGTTGTCGAGCGACCCCTTGTAAAACCAAATTGTTGTCGATTCATAAGCTTATTCTTGTAAAAGTACGTTTGTATTTGATCCAGCATGATTTTTTCAAAAATCTTACTAAACGTAGGTAGCACGGATATAGGTCTAAAGTTAGTAGGGTCAGATGTGCTACCCGATTTATGTAAAGGAATAATTTTACTATATTTCATGAGCTCAGGAAAAATACCACAATCAGTACATTCATTAAATATATAAGCTAAGATTGGAGCTATTGTCTCAATTACCGATTTAGAAACTTCAATGGAATTACCCCATAAATCAGCAGTTTTCGTTTTCTTTAGCTGATTAAAAGATTTTATTATATCTTTAAAATCAATGTGTTGAAACTTAAATTGGCTATTAGAATTATTTAAACTTGCCTTTAAAATAGATTCAGCAACAGTGGAAGAGGAATTCAAAGATTGTGTAATTAAGACTGGAATTTCAGTAAATAAATTTTCAAATACTGTAGCAACTTCAAGATCTGATGTTACTTTTTTATTATCAATGTTTAAATTAAAATTTATATTCCGGGATTTTTCTCTTCCAGTTTCACTATTTATGATATTCCACGTCATTTTAACTTTGTCTTTACTATTTTCAATTTTTGCATTTAAATAATTACATTTGGCTAAACGACACACTTTTTTAAATAATTTAGAGTAATTTCGTACATATTCTTTGAAGTCCTCACTTGTGTTATAATTACGTTCATCATATAGTTCATAGAGCCTTTTTCTGCTTTTGTAGATTCCTGGTGTAGCCCACACACTAAAAGTTATAGGATTACTAATACTTATTTTTTTTGGGACAAAAATCTTATTGAATTCTGTACAATAAACATCAAAGAAATCTTTGTACAAATCATTGGGATTACTATTATGTTTCAAATGATACAATTTACTATCTAATTGATTTTTAAAACGTTCCAAGCGACTCATACTTTTTGACACAACTGTAATGTCTCTCCTAGCCACAAACGTACATTTATGCGGAAAGCTAACTAGTTGTCCAAAATGATCTGACGGTAGTTGTTTAATTATCTGTCTTGAAAGTGGTACTAGATCTGTAAAAATGTTGTCAATACATGTGGACGAAGTAGCAGTTACTCTAGTAGGCTCCTTAAACATGTGCGCAAGATTATAGGACATAAATAGATTTACAAGTCTTGTACATGAATTGGAGTTTCCTAATAAATCAACGTTAAAATCACCCCCAATCACTAATCGTTTGCCTTTGCTATATACCTTTTTTAATGCTTCATCCATAACAGTTTCAAAGAGATCATAATGAGAAACTAAACTTGAAGGAGGTCTATATACGCTCAGTACAATCAGCTGGTCCAGCTCTATACAGGCAATCTCTATTATTTCCTCAACCGATAGGCTCACTATATCTCTACGTTCTTTAAATTTAAACTTTTTATTTAATAAAATTAGTGCGCCACCACGCATTGCGTTTTTCCTAATGAACGCGCTACCAACCAGGTGATTATTGAAGTTAAAAATGCAATTATAACTTGTTAACCAATGTTCCGTAATACAGAAAAAATCAACATTGTTACAGTTCATGAATAATTCCACTTCCAACTCTTTGCTCAACATTCCTTGAACATTTTGGTGCACTAGGTTGATGACTGAAAAACTCTTGGTTCCATTATTACTTTGACTATTAAATAGCAAGCAAGAGGAATCCTCTGTTGTCTTAGTATCTAATTTAAAGACGAATTTGTCGCAATGTCAGTAGGATTATTACTGACAGTCATGTCAATAGAAGAGTGCTCAATAGGAGCACTCTGGTTAGCCAAATTTTTGGCTGTTATAGAAAAAAAATATGATAGCGAAATAGCTATTTGTCTTTTATAATAATTGGAAAGATAATATTTATCTTTAGTCAAATAAAATTTTCTAACATACTTGTTAGTGTCAATGACATGAAACTTTGCAGTATTGCATATAGTGTGCAATGTCATATTCAATTTGTATCGCAAATTATTTTCTTCATTGGACAAACTAT